TATATAGTACGCTGATATGTGATACTTGATTCTTTTTTTCTTTTTTTTTTTAAAGCATTAAAAAAAGGTGGTCTATCTGAGGTGCACTGAGTAATAGCCATAATTTTGTGGTCTTGCCATCGCATTCAGTAGTCCGGTGGACCCTTTTAATCTCTTATTCGTTTTCGTCCTAATCATTGACGCGTTCACTTAAGCTTTATCCTATTTTTCTACCTTTCACATTGATATGTACATACATACATGCATATATATATATATGTGTGTGTGTGTGTGTGTGTCTAATTTTCAGTGGAAAAAAAAAAAAAAAATATATATATATATATATATACACACACACACACACACACACATATCCTTGGTGCGCTTGGCCAGGTTCTTCATATGGCCTAGCTATTTCCACGTAGATACAGGGAAAGTTCAGTGAAATTACAACCATCGAACACTAATATCAACTCTTGCACTAGATTGGGGCCCTAGGGGGTCCCTCGATCAAGTAAAATTAGGATGTTAGTGAAATTCGCTCTCTCTCTTTGATCTGAAATTCTCTTACAATATGTGTCAATTGAGAAGTACTTAACAGCATCATTAAGAGCAAACAGACACAGTGAACCCCATAAATTAATTGATCGAGAAAAACAAAACAAAAAACAGCACCATTAAGTGCTTATCACTATGTTGCGTTACGGTTAATTAAGAAGTGCCATGGATTATGGGGAACAGTGACAGTGAAACCCATAAATTAATTATAGATACATGATTTTAATAAACAATAATTCTAAATTTAATTTCACAATTTTGATTTAAAACTTACCACGAATATAGTTAATATAAAAAAATAAAAAATAAAAAAAAAACATAAAGGAGTTCCATTTGATTAGCATGACAAATTTAATTAATTAGTGATTACTAAACCCCAAGTTCTATAAAAGTATATTGTGCTATATTTTAGTCAAATATTTTTATGTTTAAAAAAATGTTTAAAAATAACAACAATAAATAAGAAATTTAGTAGTTTATTTTAAAAATATTTTAAATAATAAATTAAAATTAAATATTTTTTAGTATTTTTGTGTAAAAATATTATGAATATTAACCTTTAGAATACAAATGAAACTAACTAAAATTATGTGTATTAAAGTATGCTTATTTTAGTCATTATACATCTTCACAACAACTTTATATATAGTTTACCAAACACTTAAATTTCTGCTTTTGGTATTCACAGCAGTTTTGAAAAAAAATATATCAAATACCTACATGCTTCTGGTCACAACAACTTTTAACTAATAACACAACAACACTAAAAATTTTCAACAGTACAACAATATCGAACTAGCCCAAATATTAAAATAGAATAATAAATGGAATCAAAATAAATAAAATGTTATAAACATAGCACAATGATGTCCAATTGATTACTTTGTTAGGATGCTCTATTTTTCTATCTATAAACATTATGACGCATAATTTATACACTCTCCCCAATAAATTATTGTGTATGCTTTATTTTTTTTTTTGAAAGAGGATATGTACACTAGAGGGGAAAAAAAGAATAAGAAAATGAGGAAAAAAATGAACTTACTCTAATAAATAATCCAAGCTATTATTGAGGGGGAAAGATCTTGTCAAGTATTTATGGCACGTTTAGTTTACTGATTTGAGTTTTTAATTTGAGTTGAGATGTGACTTTATGTAAGAGCTTTTTACTATAATTAAAAAGTTAGATGTGACTGTTTCTGAGAGTTTTTTACTGTAACAAAACTCAGAAAATGAGGAAAAAAATGAACTTACTCTAATAAATAATCCAAGCTATTATTGAGGGGGAAAGATCTTGTCAAGTATTTATGGCACGTTTAGTTTACTGATTTGAGTTTTTAATTTGAGTTGAGATGTGACTTTATGTAAGAGCTTTTTACTATAATTAAAAAGTTAGATGTGACTGTTTCTGAGAGTTTTTTACTGTAACAAAACTCGAATCAGTGAAATGAACGAGGTCTTAGAGACGTGATTTATTTTTAATTCAAAGTAATATTTTTCAATTTCAGAGGAATAAAATAAAGTTTTTTTTTTTTTTTGAGGCGCTATTTATAAATTTGATATAAATAAATATATATAATTGTAAATAAGAAAATGTTGGGGGGTGCTTAAGCCCCTTGAGGCGTGAACAGCTTCGTTACTAAAAATCTGTATATTTCAGAAATGCGAAGAAAGCAAGACCTTAAGAAGTAAATGTTTTGGGGACAAATTAAGACAGATGCATATCCTCAACGATCAATTGTAAAACGAACCCAAAACAAAACTACAATTTTCTTTATCAAATTAAAAATAATACCTCACTGGTACTAATGTTTAATAGTTCTAAGAATAATGTTTGATATTGTTTAACCTGGTCATATATATAGTTTGTGACCTAGAAGTATTACATTAGTTGGTTTCAGACTTAAAAAAAACAAAACAAAACAAAAAACCAAAAAAACCAGAAAAAACCAAAAAAACCAGAAAAAAACCAGAAAAAAACCAAAAAAAAAAAAAAAACAAACAAACAAACAAAAGAAGCAAGCAATTAATATGCATCACTAATGGGGAAAATAGGGTAATTTCATTCATTCTTTTTTTTATTATTATATACGTGTGTCATAACTTTAAAGTTACATGAGAAAATAGAATGATAGATTACACTGATATGGAGGTAGTAAATCTAAGAGGCCGTTTGGTTTATAGATTCAGAATCATAATTCAGAATTATTCTTGTTTTACGTGTATTTTTTATGAGAAAAAATACTGTAACAAGTCACAAACCATGATTCGAATCATGATCTGAATTCTCCCGTCCCATAAGAGATTCTCTCATTTGAAAAGCAATTGTTAACCAGATTTAGGTTCAAATGTAAGATGTTATGATTCGAGTTATATTCAGCATATGCATGCCATTTGACAAGGGACCCCACCTCAATTTATAAATAGGTGAAAAGGAAAAGAAAAGAAAATGACATAAAAAATGAAGAGAGAGATAGAGAGTTGATTCTAGAGTCCTTGAAGAGAGAGATAGAGTGAGAGAGTTGATTCTGAAGTCTTTGAAAAGTCTACTCGGAAGATTCAATTGTTACGGACTTCCGACCACCTATCTTGAGTGATTAAATTCTCCATATAAAAGATAGAAAATGAGATAAATACTCTAGAATAGATAAATTTTTTATTTTTATCCCTTACATTTAATTTATATACTCTTTAATCAAATAATTATATTATTTAAAAAAGTATTAACTAAAAATAAGACGTAAAAATCATAAAATAATATATTCAAATGGTGAGTTCACATATTTTTTTTTATAAAAGAATATCTCTTATGGGCATACATGGCTTTACAATTTTGCTAAGGTTATATATAATTAAGTGAAAAATGGCAAGAAATAACTAAAAGAAAATGGGAAAAAAGATTCTCTCTTTTTGCTAACTGTATATGATATACTTATGTCATGTCAACAAAAATTTTAATCTTAGTCACCTACAAAACCGTGCTTCTCAAACACATGTATAAATGATTTTCAGACGAAAGAAAAACAGTTAGAACTGAAAACAGATAAAAGCAGTTGAATTATTAGAAATTGGGTGATTTCTTCCACGAAGTGGACCTTGTCTTTTCTATTTTATTTCGTTTTCTTTTTCTTTCTAACGAGACGGCCTTATGGGCAACTTTGGACCACCTATCTAAGATGCACTAAAAAGAGCACCAAAAGTTTTATATTGAAACTTTGTTCCCCACACACACACACACATACGAGTCTACATGGAGTCATTGTAACTTGTAACTATTGACTTAAAAAACTCTATTTAAGGGATAAAGAAAATGTTGCACAATACACAAGCGTTTTCCCCCCAATTCTCCTCTTTCCTTCAAAGCCACTTTGGAAGCCTATGGCACGCAATTCTTCAAGGCCGAGTTTCTCTCTCGCCGACCTGCGGAGTTCTCTCCCACATGAGCAGCCTTCCTTCAACATTGTGTACAACATGCCCACAATCAACTATTTCCAACCACAGCACCGTATCATTCCCAACTTTCCCCATCCAATTGTCGCCTTCATCATTCCCGTGATCCTCCACTTAATTGAACTGCAGTGCCAATGCAAAGCGAATTCTCCATTTGAGACGAACCCCGTAACCATGTGGTTCGGCGTTTCTTGCCTGTTGGCCTATTGTTTGGCTTACGGGATCGAGCTGAGAATTGCTCCTCGTCTTCGCTCTCCAAATTGTTCTGATCACTCAGTGATCCGATATGGTTCTTCGCTGTTTGGTTCCCTTTGCTTAGCGTCGTTAACATCACTACTTTTGCCGTCGATGAAGCCGCTTTTATATGGTTTCTATGGGCTGCTGTCAATAGGTGGCATACTGCAGAGCTACAAAATTGTATGGAATTCAATCGATAAGAGTATTGTCATTAACTTCTTCCGTCCGTGTAGAGGGCAAGTGGAAAGAGACCTACTCCCAGTGTAGAACAGGGGCCTCCATTCGTTTGCTCACCTTTTCTTAGTTATTTATTATATTATTCGCACTAGTACAATTCAATTACACACAGAATTACATCTGTGATGTCATTTTGCTCAACTCATAGATTTTGGGTTTTTTTTTTTTTTTTCCTTTGTATAAGATGTATTCCTTGTGTATAACAATCAGCTCCAACTTGGTATTTTTTAATCCCTGCCATGTCTAGGGACTTCCACTGTGGAATCACACAAGTTACAATGTAATAATCTTCATAGTTCATACTAATTCATGATATTATTCATTGCTAAAAGAATAATAATAATCTTCACAGTTCATACTAATTCATGATATTATTCATTGCTAAAAGAATAATGGAATGTTCATCTTCTCCCATTTTGTTTCAGTCCAGAGGATATTTCTGTACAATATGACAAAAACAGGTTGTTCTGTTTCGCTTTTTTCACCCCAACACCAGAATGATAAAAGAAACTTCCTCAAGTACCTTATTGAAGTATCAATTTCCCTATAATAGTCCGAATTGATAAATTAAAGTTAAAATCCATGTGTTCCATACAAACAAGTGGCAAACTGGGGCGTTTTACCCAAGCTCAACCACTGAATTATAAAGTACGACTAATATAAGCTAGGTAAGGATAGTATGAGAAGTTCAGAGCAGACAAAGAAGTTAAAAATCTAATAGAGACTGTTATCCTATTTACAAAACTGGGAGTTGGTTGATTGGAATTCGATGTAGTTATCAATTTGGAACTCTAACACAAGCTTCCGCTATTCACCCTCAAGCAGTTACAAGATGAGGACCAGATCGCGGAAGCACACAGGAGTAAGTCACATATCTCACACTGTCCATGAGCACAACTACGAAAATCCTCGAAAGTGACTTTGGCTTCATCACACCGTCAACATCATTATCCCCAGCCTCTCGAGGGTCAACAAGCACAGAAACAACCATAGAAGAGACATTTCTACTACCTTGAAATTCATCTTTCCGCAGATTCCTACTTGTGCGTTCTTCACTGATGTTAAAATTAGAATCAGAGAGGGGTGCGGGGAGTCTTCGAAGGATCCTTCTATTCACCCCCTTTAGGCGTCTCCCGTTCTGTGTGGTATTTTGACGTTGTTTTGCTGAAACATTGGAAATTGAGGATGCAGGAACTATAGCTCCTGAAGTAGAAGCAGGTGATACATCAAACTGAAAGACTTCAGTGCACATGCCAGAACTCAACATTGGTCCTGCAGAATCCAAGAGTGCGAATTACAATACTATAACAACAAACCTTTTCAACGATTTGGAAGAAGTTCAAATAGAACAGCAGATAGACATATGGTTAAAAAAGGAAAAGGGAAAGGAATAAATGTCACAGATTAATTCATCCTTAAGTCTGTAGGACGAACCACCAAATAATAGTTAAAAGGAAAGAAACAGTCGATCTTCAAGTCAGAAGACCAGGACTACTGACCGAGTTCACTGTTTTATTTTTTATTTTTTATTTTCCTAAACTTCACTGTTATTTAACAAACACCAGTACTTTATTTAACGAAAAAAGATAATTATTCCATGTAACAATCGAGCTTCTAGAAAACGTGTAAAGCAAATGTTTGTCCTTGAAATGCGAGAAAAACGGCGAAGCACGTAAACATATAAACTACAAAAGGGCTATTTACCTTCTTGTACCATGAGTTTTAAATTTATTCTAAAAGTATATCTTAAGTTTTTAATCTCATCAAATGTAAGCCTTCATATTACATTAAATACACAAATTCATATCTTCTCATGGTCAATACTCCATTTCAAACTAAAATACCCAAAATACCCTTAAATACAAGGGAAAATATAAAATATTCAAAAATGTACATTGGCCTCATTCATTTCACCAATTTGAGTTTTCAGATCTAGGTTTCTACAATTAAAAGTACTCAAAAAATGTCACATCTAACTTTTTCTGTTACAGTTAAAAGCTCTCATAAAATGTCACATCTCAGCTCAAATTGAAACTCGAATCCACGAATCGAACGAGGCCATAAAAAATAGAAAACCTCATAAAATAGTATTTTCCTTTTCATCTTCTTCTTTTTAGAGTAGTTAATTTTTCTATCAAGGGTATCTTTGGTTTTTTGAGGTCAAATCAATTGTTGACTAATAAAGGCATGGATTTATGTATTAAACATGATATGAAGGTATATCTGATAAGATAAAAGAACCAAGGGTACATTTTCCGAACAAACCTAAAAAATAGGATATAACAAGGTATAGAACCTGGTACAAAACCATTACGATCACACAAAAAAATCAAGAGCAGTTGTGTTAACAAAAGTATCAAAGGGCCAAACAAAATAAGTAAAAAAATAATCATATAAGATAATATTAGTAAAGAAGAAAAGATAATTGTGATACCAAGAATAGATTAAATTCAGTAATGATGGGTAAAGCAGTGTTTCAAGCAACTAAGCGCATTACATTTAGTTCGATAAACCATAGATACAAATATTAAAATTGCTGAACCACCGCTGAGCAAGTCACCTTGGTTGAGATTGTCTCGTTGGGAAAGAAGATCCAGTGCATCCAAATTAATTCAAGGAAAGGCTCTTTGCAGATCGGTTGGCACCGAAGTGGACAACAAGATAATTACTTGGGAGAATACTAACTAATTCCGGATTTTAAGGGATCCTTGTTAGGAAATTTTCCTTAACGCAAAATCCGCATTATAGAGAAGGGTTGACCACGCAGATTGGGAAACAAGATACTTCAAAAGGGGAAAACAAGATAATTTCCACATTTACTATTTATTTATCGTAAGGCTAGAGTAGGAGATTACAGCTCTCACCCCAACCGAAAAAAAGGACCCTAAGTTGTATTGGCAATTACACACCATAGTCTCTCTTAATCATAGTGAAACTATCCTCCCCAAAGACCCTAATGGACGTAGCTCTCAAGTGAGGGAGACCCACTTTAAAATCTATAACAAGTTATATGTCTTTTTCTGCATTTAAGTTACAGTTCAATGTAAAGTGATTCAATTTGGTGAGATGAGCAACAAGTTCGACCTTGTTCGTGAATTTTCGGTGTCAACAATTTGTTGGTGAGGTGAGTGACATGGTTTACTTATTGATGAACTTTCGCCGTTGACAAGGATTTAACAAACTAGACATCAAGTTGTGTTAGTTGCTTAACTAGCTAAGCATGACAAACTTGAAATGAAAGAATATTACACATAAAAGAGCTAAAAATATACATACAGCAATGATCAAACTATAGATGGATAAACTAAACAACGATTCTTGTCATAACATCTGATTTGAAGTCAGAATATCAGGAAATTAAGCTTGACAATCTCAATTCAGTAACACGCATCAAAATGACCTTCTCTAAAAAGAGGGCGGTAATTTAATGAATATGTATAGACACAAAATTAGTTAGTATTTATTGGTGTCTGATTTAGACAGATAAAAAGACCAGGATTAATTTTGTCAAAATGGCAGGGGAACAATGAAAGCATGATTGCAATAATTTATTACACGTCATACTCATTTATTGAACTGAATTTAAAAAGAATGAATATTACTACCAAAATTCTTAATTGCAAAGACAACTCATTTTACTTATCAGATCAGAACTTCTAAATTGGCTATTGTCATCACTAAAAACCGAATAAAAGTTAATTTGAACTCCAAGAGCATGCCATATTGATTTCTAAAGCATTGAAGATAACAGAAGAGACAAGCATACAATCATAAGTACATATAGGAAATCATACCTGCAAGACCCTCACGGAACCACTGTTGTAGTTTACCATCTGCAGCACTTGACTTCAAACGGTCATTTGTAGCATCAGTGGCACCAGAAGAAAGAGCCTTGTGTCTTTCCACGGGGTTTCTGTACAAGGGAGCATGTCTCCCTCTATTCCCTCCAACTTCAGGAACAGCATAAGATGGAGCGACATCTCTAGCGATTGCCAAACTGGTTTCCGTCTTGCTCTTCATTTCCGAATGCGCAAGAGAGGCCTTAGCTTTTTCGCTCGCCAGGACAGAATGAATTATCAAGTTCCCATCAATTTTGACTAGCTTATCATTTCTTGGAACATACAAAGAAGCAACAAGAGGCTCGCTATCATTTCCAAGACGAATAAATTCACCAGAGCCCGGTAAAGCCTGAGAGCCTCTTTCTTTCTCCCCACATTCCAACTTCTCTCCTTGTTCACGGCCTCTTTCATGTTGTACGCTGTTAAAACTTCCCACTCTCATATTTTCTCCGGATCCATTCAGAAGGTGATCAGCTGTTAAAACGCTTCCTCGGTGCTGATCATATAGCCTCCCACTAGTGTAAACTAACCCACCAGGAGCGTTGTTCGTCAAACCACCGAAATTAACATTCACCATAGGAACCAGCCCACCAAAAAGAAAGACGAAAAATAACAAACCCAGAAAGCTAATGCTAGCAACCTTCTTAGTTTTACCACCCTCACTCTTCTTACCCTCTGATTTCTTAGCCTTAGAAGCTGACACCGTCTGTTGGGGTTTCAATCTAGGAATGGGAACTAAAGGAACCTGAGACCCTTGTGGTTTTACTACATATGGCGCATATGGGACCCACGGATAAGGCATGGGCCCCATTGGGGGATGCGGGTACATCCCCGGTGTTGGTGGTGGCGGCGGACAGATTCCACCACCACTCAGTTGTTGCCTTAAACTCGCATTCTCAACCATAATATATGATATCCTACTATTCAAATCGGTAATTGTAGAATTCATGCTTCTCAACTTATCTTCTAGTTCTTCTACGTAATGCTTCTTCCTCTGTCTGGAAAGCTGAGCGCTTTCGCGGTTCCTCATCAATCTCGCCTTCCGTTTCTCTTCCTCATCGCTCAAAGGATTCAAAGTGGACTGTGAATGCGTATTCTCTGCAGGCGCCGACGATCTCCTGTACTTCGGAGTCCTCGATTCCGCGTTCCCTTCTTCTGGCTCCTTCTTCCTCTTCGACATGTAATTTTTCCCAACTTCTTCCACCTTGACCTTTTGATCGACAAAAACACAGGACGAAACGTCTTTATCGGAATTACCAGAATGCGCAGGTGAATTCGCCCCCTCCGAAACGCCTGAGCCGCAATTTCCCGATCCCTGAGACGACACCGCTTCGCCGGAGCACTCCTGATCGCAATTACCGCAATCAGGAGACGGAGAATCCATAACTCCATCGATCTTAGACTTACGATCAGCTAAATTACGAGAGTACTCGCTGTTACAGCCTCCAGATTCCGACGACTGACAATTGAGAAAACCGGCGACATCGTAATCCCTAACGCCGGAGACAGTAGAGCTTTCCGATTCCGGAGACGCTGATTTCGCAGCCACATCAGCTTCAGAGATCGGATTAACATCTCGATCGGAATTAGTACCATTCGGAGAGAGAGAATTGGGGCCAATATCGAGCCCGTCGGGGATTAAGAATTCCTCGGTCTCGGAAGGCAGGTAGAGATCATCTCCGATATCGTCGAAAGTGAAATCGTAATCGCAATTCTCTTCCAACCCCAACCCTAGATCGGAGAAAAAATCCTCCCTTAACGCGGCGTCGTCGGACGAGAAGAATTGGTGATCGAGAGGAGGAATCGAGAGGGGCTCGAATTCGGCCGAGAAATCGACGGCGGTAGGGCTCTGATCAGGCTGTTTCGGTGGGTCTGCGACCACCAGATCAGCCATTGCTCTAGGGTTTCTGTTTGTTAGAGAGACAAGAATTGATGAGAGACGAAAAGAAATCGGAAAATTGGAACAAGTCCAAATGGACGATTGATGAAGACGAAAACGAGAGAGAGGATCTTTTGGGGGTTTTAGTTTAGGGGTCGAGCGCGTGTGTGCACGCGCCCCAGGGGTTTGGTTTGACTGGTTCAGTAAAGTCTAGGTCAAAGCCTCGGCGCGTGTTAAGAACGTATACATGTGATTACACGTGTTGGCTTTAGATGGCAGTAGTGGGACCCTTGAGGCTGATTTGTCGCTCAAGAAGAGTCGCGTGATTTGGCTCGAGGGGGGAAGCGCGTAGACATAATGAAAGAGCGTTATCCGAGAGTAAGCTTAACGCCGCGTGTATCTGGATTCTTCTTTTTTTTTTTTTGCCTCTGTTAGAAAAACCGACTTTTTCACGGTGGTGTGCCTTTGAGAACTCACGTGGTCGTCAACGAGATGATAGAGTCTCGTCTCCGTCACGCACTGATTTTTTTTAAACGGCTTCTGGCTTTTCTTACAAGAGCGGGACGTGTGGCATGTTATGCGGTCAGTTGATGCATAACACTATTCATCAAAAGGGTTAACTACACTTGTACCAAAATTTATTTACAATATTAATTTTACGCATTAATTTTTTAAAATGAAAAAAAAGAACCTTAATAAAAAATAAAGATAAAAATAGAAAAAGATCTTAAACAAATGATAAAAAAAAAAAAGTTTATAAATAATTTAATAAGTTTTATAAATAATTTATTTATAAAACAATTCATAAAAAATATTAAACCATTTATAAATAATTTACGTTTTTTAATAGGTTCTCAATTTTTTTTACACTCATTTTAGAAACAATTTATTCAATTTTTTTTCTTTTTTTCTATGAATGTTATCCTAATACATGCTCACTTACATCGTTTCGTTTTAAATTACTTCTATTTAGTTTTTTAATAAGGTGTTATTTTATTTTATTTTAGTGTGATTTTAATTGATTTTAATTTTTTTGAATTATTTATAGTAATTTTTTACAAGAGTATCAAAAATTTAGAACAAAACAGTATTAAGACAGACAAAATTAAACCACAAATAACTCTAAAATAAATAAACAAAATAACAATAATACAAAGATAATACAAATTAATTTTTTTTTTTTTTACAAAACACCCCCTCCCTCTCTCACACGTAGGACCCACGCTCCTCCCTCTCTCTTTTTTCTCACGCGGGACTCACTACTCCCCTCTCTCTCTCTCTCTCACGTGGGCCCCTTGTTGGTTTCCAAAATAATTTTGAATGTAAAAGCATGTATGTGCGGATAGTATAACAAAAAATTTTATAACACTTTTAAATACTCTATAAAATATATTAATTTACACAATAATAAATTAATCATATCAATTTGTAAAGATAAATACCTAATAAATTATTAAGTTGATAACTTAAATTCTTTGACTACGAACGATTCAAGTTCCAATCCTTTTTAGAAAACCCATGAATCTTCCTCGTCTTGTTCTTGAAATCTGCAAGATTTAGAATGTGAGCTCTAATATAGAACTATTCTAATTTGATCACTCATTAATTTGTATTTCACCACTATCAACGCATGTATGTGATAAAACTAAGAAGTGAAAGAACTTTTCTTCTCTTCTTCTCTCTGGGAAATCTAGCCACCTATGGGAAATAGAGAGTAAAAATTGTGATCTTTAATTTTCTATTGTCTCTTATTTATAAAACACTAGAAGGACTCATTTGCTTTGACTTAAAGGCAAAGCAATAGACAAATGGTTACTACTTTATTTTAAATCTCATTTAAAATATAGTTTCCTATTTAATTTTAGAAACAAAAATTCTCTCACATCTATATATGTTATGGCCGGCCACACCATAGGGAGATCTCCCTGTGGTTGGCGTAAATTACAGGCAGCAGAAGGAGAAAATATTCCTCCTTTATCCAGTTTCTAATTGTAGCTCAAATTCAAATCTAATTAAAGTCAAACTTCACTTTACTTTTGAATTTGATTGTAAAACTTGTCAAACAAGTAAACCGGATATCTTGGAGAGCAAGCAACTGAATCTTAGTGGGATTCACCATGTGTCGTGTGGCCTCCTGTAGTCCCACCACAGTGTATTCCAAAATTAATTTAATTAAATCATCACATTATTTATTTCAAGTGATATTAAGTCTCAATAATTCACCTTGTCTTGCAAATATTTCAAAGATGATGCGAAGACTCATGAACCTATAATTCTGAGTTCCAATAAAATTAATAATTAATTAAACTCTTTAAATAATTAATTAATTCTATTAATTTCAAAAGTTACTCCACTAAAAACTTAGAATCGTACTCTCAAAATCATAAACATAATTTACTTCTAAGAACTTGAAGTGTCCATTTGATATAGTCACTACATATAGATCAATCCTTTATAAATAATTCATAATTAGAGTTAGATAAAATCCGCTAACCTCTCTAATTACATCTTTACTCTTGAGTATCATTGATTCTATAATAAATAGTATGTACATAAAACAAATTCATGAATACGAGCTCATTACTTAGAATCAACCTTTAAGGAAATTATCTATCTACTTCTTCAGGAAAGAAGGAATGGATTCCATCTTGTATATTAACATTCTCAGTTATACATTTCATCATGTTTTCAAGATACAAGGAATTGGATTTAGAAACTCAAAATCCATATCAAGTAAGTAAAATAATACGAATCCATAAATAGGAGCTACTAATAAATCAGGATTACGATCATTCTATCTATGACCATTGATAGACTAAATTTTCATTTTCTATGCTTAACAGAAATTATCAGAAAATCAAAGTGTGTATGTGTCTCAGTTCTACATAATCTCATTATGCATAATACACTCATTCAATATCCCTCTATATTAACAATGCGCATAACACCACTCCATTCATAATGAGAATGACGTGTATTGGTAATGTTTTAATTAAAGATTCTGAAACTTTAATTGAATTCATTATGAACATTATTTTGATTATTATAATATTATCCTCTCATATCTAACACTTATATACAATATTTAAGGTTACATAAATAATCGTGAAATTTTCAATGACGTTCATAAAGTATTTAATAATGCATGCACATAAATAATGAAAAAACTATTTTATTAATTAAATAACAAATATCTTTTTTACATCTCATGCTTTAAGAACACTATTCCTAACACCCATCTCCCCCATGTCTCTCTCTTTCTCTTTCTCCACTAGAGAAGAAAAAAAAACTGTGTGGCTAATTTAGGGGGGAGAAACAGAAGAAATGTTTCGTCCTCTCCCCCTTAAAAACGCATTCTCCTCTATTAGAATGTAAAATATGATTTTGATTTAATCTCTTTTTTTTATTTTTTTGAGAGTTTTTTCAGTAGTCCGTCCTACTGGTAGTCCCAATTTTTTATCGTTAAATCCAGTTAAAATCATATGAAATTAAAAAAATATTCAAAACAAACAGATTCTGGTACAGATCTGTCGGCTGAAAAATAAAAGACTACCAATAGTCTATTTTTACAGAGACTACTAGAGAAAGTCTCTTATTTTATTTATTTTTTATTTTGCTATGATATTTTAATCTCACTTGATCCTTTTGTTAAAATTTTCATTAAAAGTTTGATGAAAAAAAAGGAGAATTCGTCCCAGTTGACCATTTCTTTTAGAATTTATGTTGAAACCAAATAGAAAAATACCAAATGTCAATGGCGGAGCCACTTAGAGATGAGTAGGGAGGTAGCTGAGCAACCGCCCCCACTGAGTTTTTTATTTTTTTTAAAACAACCTTTAAAACTTTGTGATTTTCTCGTTTTGTCCAGTTAAAATACTATTTTTCCATATACTCCACACTGAATTTCATACTTTTTTTATTACTTCAAGACAAAAATTTAATACATGCCCCCACTGAAATAAAATATGGCTCCGCCACTGTAAATGACATCATTTAGCCCTTTTTTGTGTATTTTAACATGAATTATAATAAAGGGAGTTAAGTATGACCAATTTAAAATTAAAGTGGTAAGATAGAAGTTTTTAAAGTTCATGCCGAAAAATGATAATGACACTAAAATTAAGGAGTATATATAAGAATAATCCTACTGAGAATAACAAGGGTTTAATTTTCAACTTGATAGGGGATAATGTCTCTCTTTAGCACCTACAGCTCAAAATGTTAAAAAAAAAAAAAAAAATGTCTCCGAGCTTATCATAAATTACAACGTTAGTATTCTGTCAATAAAAGGTCAATTTTTTTTAACAGGTTTAATCAGTTATGGGCCACGTGACTAATTAGTAAAAGGTAATATAGGAGGGTGAAGCGAGCAATTACGAGGCAATACTATTTTTTTTATAGAATAAAGCAATACTTAGCATTAGAGTGAAAAAGAATTTGCAATTTTTTTAAAAATTTTAAAAACTTTATAAAGAATTTTTGTCTAAATTTATTATATTTCTCTTATTCAAGCAGTCAATTGATTCGCCTATGATTAAATCCATTAGAAAATGGCGCCTCAAAGATGAAAATTGTTAATCTATTGGTAAGTTTAAGGGAGAGTTTTATGATAGTTTGAGTATTGTAAGTGGCAAAGTGACACAACTGTTATTTTTCAGGGGTTAAATTTGCAATTAACCGTAATAATAATGACCAGCAATAATAAATTGTATTTGTTAATTGTCTAATTTGATATAACTTGTCATGTTTTCTTTACGAATCAAATTAAATCAACTTGTCATGGTTTTTTTAATTTGATATTATTCGATATATGTTAGTGTCATGCTTTCTGCAGTAGTAGACTCTTTTTGTGGATTGGTGTTTATGTTGTCTTTTCATGCTATGATAATATATTTTCATTTTTCATAAACACGTGTTTGGTTAATGGATTTATAATCATGATTCAGAATTATTCTCAATTTATGTATGCTTTTTGTGAGAGAAAATATTGTAGCGAATCACGAATTATGATTCGAATCAGGACACAAATCCACCAACCAAATGCATAAATTAGAGTATCTTTTAATATCAAGTCACAAACTTTCACGCAAATAGAGTTATTAGCACCTTTTTCATGCTTAAAATTT